CAATCTCCCATCTATTACATTAGCAAAACCTTAATCGACGCCGAGACGAGGTACCCTACCTCGAAAAATTTGCCCTGGCCTTGGTCGTAGCTTCACGAAAGCTTAGACCCTACTTTCTGTGCCACCTCATCTCGGTAGTCACAACTTTCCCCTTGAGACACATTTTTCATAAGCCCGAGCTATCGGGCAGGTTAGCCAAGTGGGCCATAGAATTAAGTGAGCATGATATCACATATCAACCGCGAACGGCGATAAAATGACAAGTTCTTGCCGACTTTGTCATCGATCTCAGCACAACATAATGCCCGAAGTCAAAAAAGAAGCTGCCCACGCCTCTCCACAAACAAAAGATCAATGGATTTTGTACACCGATGGCGCTTCTAATGCGTTAGGGTCCGGACTGGTACTTGTGCTCGAAGTCCCGACAGGCGAAGTGATTCGCCAGTCCATAAGGTGCCCGGACATGACTAACAACGAGGTCGAGTATGAGGCAGTGATTGCAGGATTAAGGCTAGCACTCAAGCACAGGGCGAGATGGCTCATCCTACGTTGCGACTCTCAACTCGTCGTCAACCAAGTCACAGGGACTTTCAGATCAAAGAGCAAAGGTTATAAAACTACCAGGCCGAGATCTGCAAACTACTGCCCGAGTTTGACGAATGCCAGCTCGACCATATCCCTCGAGCACAAAACGTCGAAGCAGACGGCCTCGCCAAATTAGCGACAACCACTAAAAGCATAACCGGAGAAGGAAACGTGGTCACCCTCCTCCACTCATCGATAGATCCAATCGAGGTAAGGACTATAAATCTAACTTGGGACTGGCGCAACCGTATTATTACATACTTGCAGGATGGAGTACTCCCAGATGATAAAAAGGAAGCCAAGAAGCTTCGGATGCAAGCAACCAGGTACAACATCATTCACAACGACCTATACAAGAGGACGTATGGCAGCCCCCTAGCGAAATGCTTAGGCCTGACGCGTCCTAGAAGAAGTCCACGAATGCCACTACGGGGCTTATTCCGGAAATCGAGCTCAGGTCAGATGTCTCATACGGGCAGGTTACTACTGGCCTACTATGAAAAAGAGGCCGCACACTTCGTGAAAAAATGCGAGCAATGCCAAAAATACGCCCCAATGATCAGTCAAGCAGGCGAGCACCTCCACTCGATCACTTCCCCTTAGCCTTTCATCAAGTGGGGAATGAACATCGTCGGCCCCCTCCTGCGGGGCGAGGTAACGTACGATTTCTTTTGGTTTTAACTGAATATTTTTTTAAATGGGTAGAAGCAGGAGCATTCGCCCAGGTACACGAACAGGAAGAGATCGCCTTTATATGGAAAAACATTGTGTGCCGCTTCGGCCTCCCCAAAGAGATCAGTTGCGACAACGGACCCCAATTTACTGAAAAGAAGGCCGCCGAATTTTTTGAGAAGTGGCATATCAAAATAATAATCTCCACACCGTACTTTCAAACTCGGTCCATAGGGACCGCGATGATACGAGTGGACCTTTCCAACCTTACTTCCACCCGAGTGAATCCCTCGCTCAGCATCCGCACCTCATTGGCGTTAATATCGGAGTCGATTTCGCAGCTGTCCTTGGCAACGCCCTTATCTCTCCCCTCGGCAGACAAAGGAACGTCAGCAGGTCTCGAGGACGATGGCTCATCTCTCAGTACGGTACCCGCAACTTCCACAGGCGGCCCGCCAACTCCAACCTCAGCGTCAGGCAAAGGTACACCTTCCACGATGCCCGCTGATAGCGGGACTTCAGACGGCGGGTCTATATCACTTTTAGACACGGCAGTGGTCGGCTCACGATCGCCCCTTGTAGAATCCACTGCTCGAATTGTTCCATCATCGACATCCACCGACATCCATAGACCTCCTTCTACGAGATCAAATCCTCCTCATTCGGTGATGACTCGTCTATTAAATGCAGCACGGGAAAGGCCGGAGTCTTTGGTAGTGAGGCCGTTGATGGTCGAGCCAATATAGCTGAAACCGGAGGCTGAACAGAAGTGGATGGCCGGGCACACCTGGCCACAGTCACAGCAGAGGCAGACCCAGTTGTAGTGTTTCTCTGGCGGAGCGCAGGAGCAGGAGCCCTCGGCCTCCTCGAGGATCCCCGAGCTAAAAACAAAAAGAGGAAAGAAAGATTAAGAGGTCGATCCTCACAAAACAATAAAAATTCAAAGCAGACAAACTCACCGGCCACAGGAGGTGCAAGCCCGACCTCTTGAGAAAGGTCGTCCATTCGCGAATCCCCGCTGTATGAGGGAGAACCTGGCTGACCCAACCGTAGATGTCTTCGACCAAAGGAGGGGGTGCGGCTTCGTCCGCACAGAAAGGAGATGAGATATCAACATAATGGAATAGAGGTAACGCATAATACAAAAAAAAAGGAGAAAGAGGGAGGCAGATACTTACGAGCGTAGTTTCAAACCTCGGGGAACCCGTCTGCATTGTCCACTACGTCCTCAGACTTGACGTAGAAGTAATTGAGCCAAAACTTGCGGTTCGCCTTGTCGTCCATCTTCACCAGTAGGCATTTGCCGCCCCGATGGCGAAGATGCAACATCATCCCCGGATGAAAGCTAGGGGCGAAGAGGTGCATCAGGTGGAGAACGGTGCCTCAACCCCGGCTAACTCCGCGTACTTGGAAATCATGCAGATGAGTTTGTATATATAGGGGGCAAGTTGAGCCGGGCAGACGTGGTAATAGTGGCAGAACTCCTCGGCCAAAGGGAGGATATGGAAAGAATAACCGACATGGAAAGGGTACGCGTAGAAAGAGCAGTACCCAGGGCGGTGTATCTGCACGTCGTGCCCTGAAGAAACCAGGTCTATATGAGCGGGAATCTTGAATCTATCCCTAAATTCAGCGAGGCCCACCTCATTCATCAACAACTACGAGATCTCTGGGTCATCCTCGGGCATCTTTGAGAAATTTGACCTAGCCTTCTCAACACGGGAAATTATTTCTTCCACCATAGGAAAATTGTCATCCTCAACAACAGTATCAACCCAATCGTCATGGGAAGGCATGCGCACTGCCAAGGGAACAAGGTCAGGTACCCCCCCCCCCCCCCAAGAATTGGAAGACACATTAACCATCTTTGTTTATGAGTAAAGAAGGTGTAAACACAGAAGAATCAAGAGTAGCAAAAGCCACCAGAGCCAGTGAAAGCAAAACACAAAAGCGAAACCGAAAGGGCAGGAATTCTAAGTGAAGAAGGAAGAAGAAGGTATGCAGATATAAATGTTTAGGTTGCAAAGAATAAGGCAAAGGATTTTGTATCCCTATTTATAAGAGTTCAGGCATCAATATCGAGAAAGCAAACCGTCGTCTCCCAGCCCAGGCATCGAAACGGCAGACGCACAGGAAACGACGCAAGGTATCGGGAAAACGTGTAATAATGACGCGTGATGGCATGACATTATTCTGAAACGACGTGACCCTAGGTTGCGGCTCACGAAAGGAGACGTTTCTACCCCGCCTGAAACACTACTACTCGACCTGCTCGCCTAAACTTCTCATCCATAACAGAGTCGGCTCATCGAGGTCGTCCAGGGTCAACCTCCATAAGCGGAGGGACTAGCTGTATAGGTCAAAATCTGCCTCAAGGAGATTTAGCATGAAGTGGTATTATGAAAAGTGATGTGGCCTAGGTCGACTAGTAAATAGTGGGGGTCATAGTCGGGCAACCAATAACGACCGAGGTCAAGTATCAAGGGCAGTATTAACGGCTAGTTTTTATAATAGGATCTTTAGGAGAATATTCCATTGAATATTCTCTGTACTTGTACTTTTAAGGTTGACTGGGGTATGTCCCAAATAAATAGAAAAAGAGATAAGGGGAAAGGCATGAAAAATTTATTTTGAGAAGAAGACTCTCTCTCTAGAAAAGATACAAACATTGCCTTTTCATTAAGATTCTATCATCCGTTATTCAGTACTTTTCCATCAGATCCGAGAATATATGCAACATTCTAGGATTTGTCTATCATTCATCACTGTCAGAAAGAAGAATCATCCAGCTCATTCAATATTGGGTGAATCATTCTCTTTATTTACGTTAATGCCATTTATTGTTATTTGCTACTTGACATTTATCTCTCATTACTCAAACCGTTTGGAATATTAAATGCACACTGCATTTAATCCCCCACCAACACTTTCTACGTTATTTGTGTTACCCGATTATAAATCTAGAGATATTATCATTAACTAGGTTTAACCCCTCATTATATAAAAATAATTAGTTTGCCCCAAGATTTACGCTTTTAGCTCAAACAAGTTTTCCTTTCCAGTGATGATGGCTGCAAGCAATTTTCAGTCCCTTGTTTAGTATACTTTTTCAACTTATGTATTACTAAGGCAAGTATTAATTATACAACCTATTTGGTATTATCATGTGTATAACTAATACATAGCAAACCATGGTATTAGCAATTAGCATGGTTAAAGACAAAATTATTCTTAAAGTCCCTTAAAGCTAAAGCATATGGAGGGCATTTTTGTAAACAACTAATTTTCTTAGAAATTATGCAATGCATTTTAATTTTTAATACACCACACCAAACAGTCGATAAGAAATAATTTCTACATACCTAATGCTTGCATTACTAATCCCTGCATTATTAATACACCTTTTCCAGCACTATTCTTATATACCCTATCAAACGATCCCTTAGCGTGCTCAAGATTGATAATAACCTCAGCCGCCATTGAGGCTGCTAAACTGGACCGGAGACATGAGTAGCAACCGGACATTGTACAAGAGTCAACGTCAGCAAAGAGCTAACTCGACTACTAGTCTACATCAGATTCAAACACAAAGTCGGACAACTATTTGATATTGTATAATAGAGTTGAATGATTTTATTTTCCTTTTAATCTCAATTTTGGTTTCCTTTGATAAGATTATAATCATACACTTCGATTTATCTTAGTCTGAACTCAAGTCAAGCGGTAATAAGGGAACATGGGTCTTACGGAAATAGAAAGAATTTTGCAACCCCATACATAGTACTTTACTCACATTGCATACTACCAAAAATTAGAACGTCTTGCGGAGAGCGAGCTACATACCAGCAGTCCATCCATAGCGAAGCCAGCACCAACTAGTTGACATTCGTGCAGCTAATTTTTTCTTAACACTTTACATACAATCATATTCTACTATGCTTACATGGACATCAAAAAATGTCACTCCACTATAAACGGAGATAAGAAAGAAAGAAGAAAAGGCTTAGCAGATTCTAAGTACAGAAGACTCCCCTACAACCAAGACACTCAATTCTTTCCTGATGCTTTCCTCCAACTTCATGGCTACTACAGTATTACTTAACATTGAGTTGGCACCAACTTGGTGCAATATCAATGAAATGATCTTTGAGTTACCTACAATTTAAATTAAAATAACATTAACTTCTCAGTAACTATCTCACACTAGATGACAGCGGTTCAACAGAATGAGGAGTTGATCTATTGCCCAATAATGTATATCAGATTGATACTTGCCAGCAAATCACTATCGGCCCGTCCCACATTGCTGCAACTGCAAATCAGAACTGAATGCCCATCGGGAATATCTTTGTGATCCATGGGCGTTCACCAAAGTTCTGGGAAATGCCATTATGAAAATCATGGAAAAAGCTGAAGAAAACCTGGCGAGCAGCAGCATTAGGCAATTAGCAGCACGTCCATCCTTTTCCCGATGCGGTATTGTCCACATATACTAACATCACACCCATTCAAAGTTTGTTTCTTTAGGCAACACCAGACCGATTAGACATAGAGATGGATTAGGCACAACTGAGAGCATAGAGCAGGTATCAGATGACTGTGGAAGGATGAAGAGAAGCCTTGCCCACATTGATTTTATGGCTGGAATTTTAATTACACCAGCACATTCCCTCTGCTTCAGGTATGATATAAAATCTTGAAACTGCAAAGCAAGTTACTACATTTTAGTCCTCTAAATCGCTTCCAGTTATAACAATTGAGCAATTGTTGCAAAAAAATTAGAAGGAATTTGGAAAGTAGAAAGTAAATGCAGAAAAAATCTCCTTAAGGTCCATATCTGAACGCATATAGCAAGTCATGGATAAAACCGGTGGGAAAAGTTGGATAATGTTTTAGCAAACAGCTGAGGAAAAAGTCCAAATTCCTATATCTAGATCCTCCTCCTAAAATGATTTTCTTTGGAAATTCTATTTAGTTCCCATTTTAGGCAAAAATACGCGCACAAATCAAGGTGATAACAACTAATTTGGAAGATGCACAAAAACATTTCTCCATCTACCATCTAGCATACATCATGACTACATTCATCTGTAATGAAAACTGAAGGAGAGCATGATTAACTTACGCCCTTGTGATCCACTGGAGAAGAAGGTAGCAACCAGCATATCTCCTTCTGTGTCACATTAATTTGAACAAGAAAGTAGAAATGTTAGAATAGGTAAAGATATGGCACAGATATACAAAGAGTAAAGCTGCCAAACATTATAAGTTAGAGATGACAGTAGCAATTATCAAAAGATGCTAATATGTGTTATATATATATTATATATATATATATATATATATATATATATATATATATGTGTGTGTGTGTGTGTGTGATATGCAGAGTGTTCCTTATAATGTTCAAAGGACTCACTTTGTGGGGTGGTGTACTACAAAATGTTGATTTGACATGCCGAAAATCAGTGCGTTTGGTCATATCCAACTTAGCAGGCCATCTGCAAACATTTCCACTTTAAGAAACAGAATATTTACAAATCAATTATGAAAACATCAAAGGCACTGAAGTCCTTACTCTGTGGGCTCAGCATTGGCATTTGAATACCTGCAAACATCCGATTCTACTCTTTGTGCATAAATTGTACAGTAATGAACTCCACTTTTACTCAAGGAGCCCTGCCACTGATAGGGTTCAGAACTAACCAAATTTGAAGATTCCGATAATGGAGGTGGCGGGGGAGGCGGGGAACTAGGTGGAGGAGGAATATTAGGTGGGTCAGGATAAGGTGGTGGAGGCGGGGATGAAGGTAATGGAGGCTGCAAGACAGGTGGAGGTAATGGGGGTAATGAGTCAGGCTGAGGTGGTGGTGGTGGTGGTAAAGACGTCACTGGTGGTCGAACAACAGGCACAGGAAACATATGATCAAATGGTGGCATGGAGGTGCCTTGCATCTGTGACAGTGGAGTCACAGAAGCAGGTACAAATGGTGGTGCAACTGAACAATGGTGAAGATTAGTAGGAAGTGCACCAGATGGAATTGGCTTTGGAGGCAAGTTATGGTTCAGACCACGTGAATCCCACCCAGTTGGGGGGAAGTACATTGGGTGCCCAAAGGGCGGGGGTTGTGCTTGCTGTGGTGGTGCAATAGGAGGTCCTTGAATTGGCTGTGCTGCTGCAGGAGGAAGTGCTTGAACTGGCGGCGGCACGGTAGGAGGTCCTTGAATAGGCTGTAGTGGTCTAGTAGGCAATTGAGCAGGTGCAGGATTGCAGGCAACAATTGCCGGTCTAGAATGAAGCTCTGCTTCAGATTTCCTGTGCATCCACATGTCATTAACAACACCAGAGAATATATTATTACCTGCAGAAATCATCAGGGGAACCGCATGACAATGAGCATCAAACTGCTACTGGAAAGATCACAACTAGAGTAATGGACAAGTACCTCTAGGTGATGGAATCGGAACCAACATATCAGCTTTTCCAGTACCAACTTCGGGCATCCCTCTGCTTGCTATAGGTGCCCAGTTCGACTGAGGTGCATATCCAGCATGAGGCATGCTACCTTGCTCTGGTTTTAGTCTGGGTGATGTGAGTTCCATAATACTACCTTCATTTTTTACAGGAACAGGAATATGATGCTGCCCAGTGTGACTGTTTGAACAACAGGAGGAGAAGCTCAAAGTTAAGCTCAGATCATAGTGCAAGACCGTCATAAGCTTTTAACACAATGTAAAGCACTCTAGGTATACAGGAACCAAAACAACGACCCAGTAGAATCCTACTAGTGGGATTTGGGTATACAGGAACCAAAAGAGAAAAAGATAAGAATAGAGTGTTAATATTCAAATGTGACAAATCATTCAAATGACTCCAGATCTTTTCATAAATTTCTAGGTTTGTTAAGGGGGAAACCACTATTTTTTTTTATAACCACGGTGTCTGGGCTAGCTTGCGCGCACTAATTCCACGAGGTACTTGCTACCTCCCACCAGCATAGGTACCGAGTAACTCTGTCCAGTAAGACTTGGGCAGATGCAAAGAAACCACCTAGTGTTTTTGTCTCCGCTGGAATTTGAACCTAAGACCTTATAGTTCTCAACCCACTTCAAAGACCGCTAGGCACACACCCGTGGGTGCTAATTCAAGTGCATCACTTTTCACCACAGATCTATGAAGGTTACAGAAAAGTTTCGGTAAGGTTTCCAGAAACATGCCTATTTCTGAATTCAATGCACGCAAGTGTATCACTCGTGATCAGAGCTGCAAGGGACTGCTAAGGGCAAATTTCAACATGGGAAAGATTGAAGGACATATTATCTGTGTACACTCAGGTTTTCAATAAATCTTGGTTGTTATCGGGAAAGGTAACTTCTATGATATATGTCATTAAAATTCTCCAACAATTTTTTTTTCTTTTTTGATATGGAACATTCCCCAACACTCTTGAGGGATATAGCTATGTGGTAAATCATATCTTAAATATAAGGAATATTAACAGGTAAGTTTTTGACGACTACACACTAAACAGAGACAAACTCGTCCAAAAACAAGAGGACTTGTTCCCAATCAGAGTGGGAAAGACTAGAAAAGTACAGAAATCAAATTGTCGCTTTAAACCTATAATAAACTAACTATCAAATAGCGCTAGAACAAGGACGTTGAAAGATATCAGCGTCGAGTGAATTAAAACCAGACAAGCAGCCCGAAGCAATTACATACCTGAACTCTTTCCCCCTTTTCCGTTTTGGAGCTTGGGGGGGGGGGGGGGGGAGGGGGTAGGTAAAATGTACATACCTGAATTCTATCTGGAAGAATAACCCAGGACAATCACGAAGGGTCTTCAGGAGAGTATTTGCAGAATCCATGCTGCTGCATTCAACTAGCCAACAAGAACCCATAGGCATATTTTCCCTCATTAACCTGATGATAGAACCTTTGTTGTCAATGGCAAGATTACAAATAGCCAAAAGCTCATCTTCTGTGATAAACAAGGAGCTACCATTTGGAATGCTAATCCGTACTGTGTTTGTCTGCATTGTATCTCCTCCCGAGAATCCAGTTTCACAGTTCCCTGGCATGTGATGACTCTTATATCCAGGATTGTATGTAACATTATATTTGGTACTTAAATGCGAAAGCAAAGAAGATAGACGTGACATTCTTGGAACATGACTGTCAGAATGGTTCTCAAGCATGTTCTGGAAGTGATTTGGCCCAACAGTACTATTGGTACAAATATTGCTTCCAGTACCAACATAAACAGAGGCAGAGCTAGGCCTTACACCTTCCGCGTGCGCGGTGGCATTAGCTGGACCTAAGTTTAGGGGCTGGTTGCAGTTACTCCTTCCCTTACGCCAGTGCCTTAGCTGATTCATGGCAATTGTGGCCTCCTCAGGTGTGTCGAACTCCATCAGCAATGCACCTTCGCTGCCTAGATCAGTAACCATCCGAGGACCTTTTTGAAGTGCTTTTCTCAGCTCATGCATAACATTATCCTTCATCCAATGGTTCTGAACACTCCCAACATAAATATAGCAACTAGAACCAACAGCAACACCATTAATAGCCCCCTTGGTTCCTAATCCTATATCCAAGAACTTTATTCGAAGACCAGCACCCCAAGGAGAAGTTCCCTGCATGATTTCCCTGACTCTCACCGCGTCCATAATGTTTTGGTACTCAACCAAAGCAAAACCTCTGAATGCAAAGAATGCAAATTGATACACTGGACCAAACATCTCAAACTTATGTCTGACAGCAGCTTCAGATGCATCAGGGCCTAAAGACCCCAACCATAGCTGATTTGAAGCGGGAAAGATATCTGCGGCAGCTGGGTCTCCATCAGTGTACCAAACAACTTGATTTGTGGAAGAATGAGGCAGTGGTAAACGCTGCATAGGTGACTCCATGGAACAACTCATGCCTCCAGATGATGATCTTGAGGCTGGTAATGAACGGTCCATATTTGGATTTTGGTGGTTCTCCATCAGGCCACCATGGTGGCCTAAATCACATGAACCACTTCTCAAGTTCGACGGTGTTCTAGCAATAGGTGAAAGAATCTGCTGGTTATAAACCTCTTTAGGCCTCGGTAAAACTCCAGAATCTTTAGAATCAAAAACCACCGGCCTATGCTCCCCACTATCAGTATTTGATTTCATACTGGAACAGTGATTTGCTCCCAGAGGGATTGCTGAGCTTCGAGAAACTTCATGAGTTTCTTTTTTAGCAGATAGCTCGTGACCCGAGTACTCACTAGCATACTTTGCGGTACCCAAACCATCCTCATCGCCATACTCATGCATTTTTTCTGCCTTCACTTCATCTAAGAAAGACTGCAATATTCCTTCAAGAACTGAGGAAATATCTGAAACAACTTGAGGGGATGCTGATTTACTTAATTTCTTAAACCTTGAGCAAATCCAACTCATCAGAGAATTATCTTTCTCTACGACCTGTATAAAGAGATTTAAAGACAATGCATCTTGAGCAAAAGCCTTAGAGACCAAAGAAATGAATCATAATAAGAGTGCACATCTTGAGCAAAAGCCATGGAAACCAAATAAATCAATCATACTATCACCTTCACCACACGAAAGATGACAATACTTTATGGAAATTAAGTGTTTAACACTCTGAAAATTCCAGAGAAATCTTCGTGACAACATCGATTTTCTAGGGACAGTTACAACAACAATTAACCCAATATAATCCCACAAAGTGGGGTCTGGGACAGTTCAAACATCAAAAAAAACCTTTTCCCCCAGATGACTTCAAAACTGAAGGATTGACCATCAATAAAAGATCATCAGACATTATTTTCCACCTCATAGAAATCAGGGTTTCAGATACTAATGGGAGACATAACTTCAGCGAGAACGCTATGCCACTAGTTGAATAATTCAATTACAAAAACTGCCCTCAAGGTTTAAGTATGTATCCTTAACCTCCCTTATTTCTGTTGAACTATAACAAATCAGATCTTACAACAATTCATGAGAAACATAGGATATAGAGCTCAATTCACCCTTCTGATCAAGTGATGTGTCATATTATAGAAGTTCTTTCACCTTTTCTTTTAAGCACTATATAACTTCATCAAATAGAATGCTCCTATGTTTCTATATAGATCTATGAGATAATTAACAAGGAAAAGAATTGTTTAAATAAAAACATGGAGCACTCGGTGAAAATGAAGCAATGATCTCTAAGTTGTGATTGTACTGAATTTAGGTAAAACCTAAATATTTTTTTTCTTACAAGGTAAAATCTTATTGATATACAATACTAAGGTAGTACTGCAGGGAAACGCCTTAAATAAACTTTTGAGAGAATAGAAAGCCAATATTCAGATAATACGTTTGAAATGTATAATTCAACACACTTAATTTGTGATGGATTTAAGTAAAGAAAAAAGAGGAGCTTATATTGAATCTAGGGGTGGGCAATCGGTCGGTTCAGTTCAGTTTGGTTTTTGAAATTTCGGTCGGTTATTTTGGTTTTTTGTTCGGTTTATCTATTTGGGCCTTGTTTTCTCATAAAACAATTTTGTAATGATGCCTGTCGTCTTCTTCAAGTGATTCCCCGAATCAGAAACTTTTCTATTGAAAAAGTAAAACTTTCTTCATAAGCTTGTCTCACTCATGAAGTTTTGCGGAGAAGGGGGATTCCTATGACGTCCAGATGTTTCTTGTGTCAGAAGGAGGAAGAAACCAATAGCAATCTCTTTCTACATTGCAAGGTAACTGATACTCTGTGGCAGTTATTCCTTACCCTGGCAGGAATACAATGGATCCAAAGAATACCAAGGACCTTTTGTGGTGCTGGAATTATATTGAAACAAGGAAGAGTCAGAAGCTATGGTGGAGAATGGTGCCAGCATGTATATGGTGGACGGTGTGGACAGAAAGGAGTTGTAGATGTTTTTGAGGATAAAATTAGTTCCATACAAAGAATTAAGATGAATTGTTTTTTGTCTTTTCAATTCTGATGTAAAGAGAACTATACAGAGGATGCAGAACCACTTGTAGATTTCTTAGATTCTTGTAAGATACAAGGCCCTCTGTGATTTGTACATTCTCTTTTTGGATACCAGTACCAACTTGGCGCTGATGAATATATTGTTACCTTATTCAAAAAAAAAGTAAAACTTTCTTCACAAGAAAGAAGAAGAAACCCAAGAAACCTTTACATCACTGTAGACGGTAAAAGGTACCTCAGACGACCGCCGTTAGACAGTCAATCTAAACTCATTTACCAAGAAAACTCTTAACAGAAGGAAAACAACTAAATCAGAAGAACTTAAAGACGTAATGACTAGAACAGCCAAAATCTACTTCAATTTCCAATGGAAAAGGCATCCTGGCATGTTGTTATTGTTAAAGAGAGATCTAGTGTCCGTCGATTGGTTAGAACGACAAATCTCCGACTACGGCAAGTCAATCTTCCTTCCTCCCTCTACTCAGGGATCCTAAGTCCTAAATTTTTTTGTTTCTCCATGTAAGTCTCAAAACCAAATGATATGATGCAATAAGTATATTTAAGATCGGTTATTCGGTTTAATCGGTTTTTTCTTTGAAAAACCGAGCACCGAACCAAACTTCCAAAAATTCTAAACTGAAACTGACCAAAAAACAGAAGAAACCTAACCCCCTATATTGAATTCAAATTGAACAATCTCATGATGGACAAAAATTACTTAGTGAGCTGATGAGCTCGTAACCTGTGAAACCATATGGCAAGTAAGTCTCAGACCTAAACCTTGAGTTTAGGTTTCTGTCATCTGCCCTACTAGGAAACAAGGAAAAAAAGAAGCACAATATACTGATTCCAGCTTCTCATGATGAGCTAACATGAAACGACACTACTTCTAAACGGAAAAAGGAAAAAGAAAATAACATGAAACAGATAAGTAGATGTTCTGAAATAATAACAGAAATAGACACAGAACAAGAGGTCCCATGTTTCAACCAATACAAAAGAACAAGGATTAGTCTCAGCGAATTGCTTTTAGATGAAAGGGGAAAACGGAAAAAGGAACAGTAACTGACTAGTTAATCAAAGGAAAATTGTTAGATATGGTATTGTACCAGTCCTAATAAGCAGTTCTTCAAAACAAGAGAGCTGTTGTCCGAGACTTGTTTGCTGCATGTTGCAAGGCCATCATCCACAAGACCCTTACATTTGCTACTTGTTTCTCTGGATGTTGCTGATGATGTCACTGCACTATTTCCGCCATTCCTAGGATGAGCAATAGCATCATCAAGCCTGTTTGTTAACTGACGAAGTAAGTAATATCCTTCTCGCTTAGCTTCCTCCGATCCAGTAGAGCCAAAGAGCTCAAAACAAGATGCAATTGAGTTTTTTGGGCAAGTAAAGAAAATTCTGAGGAAACTAAGTACACGGAACTCAGATAGCTTGAGCAATACCGATTTTTCCTTGTTTAAAATTTTTTGTTGGTACTCAGAGAACGAATGAGCATCTTGAATACCAAAAAGTTCCTCGTCGGCAATCTCAAGAACATCCTTCCCTTCAAAACTGGATATGAAGAAGGTGAGTGCGTCATGGAATACTGTGGAGCAAATTCCTTGAATAACTGATGATGTTGGCGCCTCAGCAGCAGCACTTTGACAGATATCAGCTAGACCAAAAATGCATGCCTTAGCAGTTTCAAACGCAACACCGTCTATATCATCTCCTTTACCAATCAAAGCTAACTTCCAATTATGCATGTTAATAACAACTCTCACTGCAGCTTCAAGAGCAGTAGGACAATACGAAGCAAATCGAGGAATAAAATCAGCCACTAAACGTTGTACGCTTGTGCAGCCTGCACACCAGAATCATAGATGAAAATTTAAATTAAAGCTTCACAAAAGGATGCAATATATTTCAGTACCAAAGAGGAATACTTTCAACAAATAGGAGCAAGTCCCTTTGGAAGTTCACAGGCTGCGTCAGTATAATGATTTCCTATCAGGAACATTGATGGTAATTCATTATACTGCAATTATTCACTACGATAATGAAAGCATGAAAAGAATTACTCGAAAAGTAGTTAAGTGGAACTAAGTTAATGCAAAGTTGCACAAGATAGGACTAGAAGCATAAACGTAGCAACTGCTGTTCATGCCAATTAGTCAATACGAGTGGGTCCCGCAGAGCATTTAGTGACACTTTAGAAAGAATGGAACGAAAGTGGTCCCGAAAAACAATTGGCACACTTGCATCACATTTGAGCATGAGTAGCAAGGGCATGGATCTCATAGAACAATTGGCACATTTATATGAGATTTTAGAAAGAACAGGACGGAACACCAATACACGTCACTAGGTAACCTGTCTTAGTTTCATATGTATAATCATTCAATGAATTGAGAAATAAACCATGTCACCCCCAGTGTAATCTATCTCTGCAATTTTCCTTCTCATTCTCTATTTGTTAAGTCCTCTTTCCCATTTTATGTGGCATACTTTTTTAGTCTGTCACGAAAGAATGGTGCATTTCTATATTTAGAAACAATTGAACTTTAAATTTTTCATCTTAGCCTTAATGAGATGATTTATAACCTCACAAATGTCTGTAGCTTGTTTTGGACAAACAAATTTCAAAGTCTTCCTTTCTTTCTTAAACCTCGTACCCAGCCAAACACCACTACATAAAATGGGATGAAGAGAGTATTTCTTTTTGAGGGACTGGAGAGAACTGTCACAAGTAGGAGAGATTATTGCCACTCCATACAGGGCAATCCAGAGCCCTTCATCCAAAATGAAATAGGTGCACGCTGCAAAGGTATTGTTAACTCAAAATAATACGAAGATAGATATAACAACTTTCTTCTATGTCATATTGTCATTTTAAGTACCTAGAATTTTAGTACTAATAGTCACATCTACAAACCGTCGCATATAGAGTTCTGTGAATTGACATGATCAAACCATCTCTAACAACCTTCTCTGATCTTAAATGTCATAGAATATTATTTATTTAATTTTTTGTTTGTAGGAAAAATGCTTACCTTTTAAAGTGCAAAGAAAAATCATTCACTAGACTGTACGTAGCCTAAAATTTGGATGAAGTCCCTGGTATGTCAACTGTTCAGTGAAAAAATTTTCTTGTTATGATGACTTTACTAGTATATTTCAAGTGGCCGTTTTGATGGCACAATGTCTCCTTACTAGTGATCGTTCGTCGTTCCTTTTTTGGGTAATTATTCAACTGGTATCACCTCTTTCAGATTTCTCTCCTTTTTTTTTTTTTGGCTTTTTTGGATAGGTAATGTACGGATATTATTGATTTTAAAACTAGCATTAAGGGAATGCGGGAAAAGAGTACATCCAAAAAAAGAACTTTACAGTGTGTGTAAAGAACTGAGAAAATCGACCATGGCTCACGGACGTGATACATCTGTGCCAGTTGCACCAAAAAGTAAGCAGATGTATACATTTGAGTTTAAGGTTAACTGAATTATACTACTTGTCTTTGAAGCTCTAGTATTTTTTCCTTCCATATAACCCGCCATAGCACAACTGGAATAGAAATCCAAGTATCCCTGGAAGATTTAAGCATGTCCAATTTGTGCGAGAAGGAAACATGCAGACAATTGTTTTAATGGCACAGATACTTTTTGATGAAATGGTCAACCATATGAGCAGTCCTAAAGGGGGCTGACATTTCGGTCAAAAATATACCCTAAACGACATCACCAATCAGATTAATAAGTGTTATTTTTTGGACACCAAGTATATAGAACAGAATAAGACGACTCAGACACTAGAGAAAGAAGAAAGAGTCATTGTGAAAAAGAAAAAAGAAGATGAAGAAAGAAGTAAAGAAAAGCAGAGATAAAGTAAAGAAAAGCAGAGCTAACAAAAGTAGTAGAATAAGTTTCTTGCAAGCTAAGAAAAAATGCAGATGATAGCAAAGAGGAGTGCTGATACTCAGATAGTAAAACACCATCCATCTTTCAAAGTTGTATTCGAAGAAGTGATCCTTCTCACTTGGATCGCTTAGCACCTCACTGCCCAAAACTCGCGCTTCTTAGCATCTATGTTTTGCTCGAATCCTCCAAAAATGTTGCATACCCGTGTCTGATCCTCTAAAATATTATGCATTTTTTTGGAGGTTCCAACATTGGTGCAGTGGCATTTTTTGAAAAATCCAAGCAACATAGCTAAGCACCACTTCAACCATTGAGAAGCGGTGACCTGAAACACACTCTTCTTCAATCACTTCAACCATGATAAGCGATAACCCTCACTTTGCATCACTCTATCACTAATTCAAAATACAGTCTTCTTTGCATCACTTCAACCATGAGAAAGCTTTAACCCTTGCTCGCGTTACTCTCGTTGGTTTGTTTGGATAATAATGTGATTTACTCTATATCCAACAGATGAAAGTAGCCGAGATGACGATGCTGAGGTGGATGTGCAAGCATTCCAAGAGAGATATTATTAGGAATGAAGTTATTCGGGACAAGGTGGGAGTGGCCCCAGTGGAGGACAAGATACGTGAAGTAAGGTTAAGATGGTACGGGAATGTGAGAAGAAGAGTCGTTGATGCCCCCGTGAGGAGTTGTGAGAGATTGGTTGTGGTGAGCTTGAGGATAGGTAGAGGTAGGCCTAAGAAGCATCGGGGTGGGGTGATTAGGCAGAACATGACGAAATTTCAACTTAGTGAGGACATGAGCCTAGATAGGAGGGTGTGGAGGTTGAGGATTAGGGTAGAAGGTTAGGGGGTAGCTGAAGGTATTCCTTTGTCATCCTAGTGGCAGTAGTACTAGTCTTGTAGTCTTTTTTTCCTTTTTCCTGTTCATAGAGCTATATTCTTACCGGTTATTTCTTTTTTTTGATTTGCACCGGGTGTCCGAGTCTCTAAGAGCCCCGACTAATCCCGGGGGTGCACAGGCCCTCGGCAAGGAGTTTCCCGCAAGTGCACCACGGTTAATTCAGGTTTTACCCAGTCCGATGGCCCTCAGGAATTGTTTGCACCCAGTGGGTTTCGAACTTGAGACCTTGAAAGGGAGCAAACCCCAAGGCTCAAGTCAATTGCCACCAGGCCAACCCCTGAGGGTTTACCGGTTATTTCTTTTACTTCAATTATTTTACTATACCATTGTTTATATATCAGTCTTGTAGTCTTTTTTTCCTTTTTCCTGTTCATAGAGCTATATTCTTACCGGTTATTTCTTTGACTTCAATTATTTTACTATACCGTTGTTTATATATCGATGTTGTTAATTGCTACTGCTCCTTTTCATTTTGTCCTTGAGCCGAAGGTCTTCGGAAACAGGCTCTCTACCTCCACGAGGTAGGGGTAAGGTCTGCGTACACACTATTATAGTTCTTCCTTTCAGTCTGGCAAGGGAAAGAAACACTCCACATTTATTTGCACTCCTTGAACATCTCCTCTTTTTCACTCCAACTAGACGAAGCGGTAATTTCTAAAACCTAGGGTTCATGAATCATACAAGGGATGGGGAAAATCCCAGAAACGCCTAAAGACACCTACTTCATGTAATTGATCAGTCTCACAATATTATTAGCTCCTATTCATCGAATAACAACGAAGAGAAAAACGAACTGTATAAACTTCATACATATGTCGACTCTGCAGCAAGCAACTGAACACAAATAGCAATGAAAATACTCAATTTCACGATTTAGAAGAAAAGGGACAAAAGCGAAATTAGAGAGAGAAAAAAGTGCTAAATACTGACCTCTTGAGGAAGTAATGAGAGAAAGGTAGGCTTGTTCGAGTTCGGATGAAAGACGATGATCGTTCTGTGAGATGCAGAATTTAATGCGTTTGTAACACTCGTAAACATTGCGAATCTCTTCTTGGTTCCTTCTCCGTCGGAGGATTTCATCCTGAGATATCGCCGGAGCAGCGACGCTCTGCTGTTGAGGCTGTGGTGGTGGTTGAGGAGGAGGAGGAGGCGGTGACTGAGGCGGTGCTGGTGATGGTTCGTGTATTTGTTCGTAAAGCTTCCGTTTCTTCAGTGGCTGCTCCGTCGTAGCCATGGCGGACGGACGGGGAAGAGGAGAAGAGGGGAGAAGTGGGAACACGCGCTCAGTCCCGCTTTTTGGCTGTATTTTACTTCGGTGATTAAGAACGTAGGATCTTTCTTATATTCCGAAGTGTAATTACCGTCTAGTCCGCACTCCCATACGCATGCGCCTAGTCAAGTTGAAAAGTGGCTCACTGTTAAAAATATACTCTATTTGATGAATTACGCCAAGCATCTTTATAATACTACTAGTTGTATAGGTCCAAATTTGGTGACCACTGTATCGGATAAGCAAGACAAAGGACGGGGTCGATCGTGATATAACAACATAAGATTGTTCTCACAAAGGCTGATGCTAGAAGCGGGCAGCCGAGATGAGAAAGTAAAAGCAGCGTAGGTTTAGAAGTGGACATAAGCCGTACTTTTTAAGATTTTTTGGGGAATATCCCTTATAAATAGGAAGAGATAGGGAACAAAAGATCATCTTCGTTGTTTTGACAAAAAACATATTGTAAAGGTTGACAAGAGAATATATGAAAAAGTTGTCTTATTCATTGATTTGTTCAAGCACACGTTGCTCAATCTTTATCCATAAATCCCAAGATTCCACATCCATCTTGACCTCTCACTTTTCCACGTCGCAGACAGAGAAAAGGAACATCCCAATCATATAATAATTGGGTGGTAGATCCTTTCCTATTACATTCATTGTCATTANTATATATATATATATATATATATATATATATATATATATATATATATATATATATATATATATATATATGCTATAATATTTATTGTCAATCATAGTATTAAACCCGTTATTCAATGCTCTTGAGCGCTACTCGCTACACAAGTGCTCCATTTTATTCGGTCTAGGATTTATTAAGTTCAACTAAGATTCGCCCTCTAACTCATTATTAATTGATTTAGCACTTATTTGCTCAAACAATTTGGAGCCGTCTGTGGGGAGGTTTTAGTTGAAATTTTAGTTCCTTCTAGATAAAAAAAAAAACCCAGCCATCTTCTCTCCGTTTACGCAAACTAAAGATGACAGGAAAAGGAGAGGCAAGACAGAAAGCCATAGCAGGTGTCACTACCAACATTTTGAACACCATCAACGAGGATGACAGGGAAGACAACGAGAATGTGACACCAAACGCTATGCTCAGGCGGAGTGATTCACCTCCCCCTCATGAAAGCGTAACAGCTTCACGCGAAAGGGGAGCATTCACGTCTACAGTTGAGGAAGCACCACCAGCAGTGAAAAAATTATTGGAAGAGTGGCTGACAAGCACTCTAAACAACATACTCGACAAACCCGTTCAAAGGGAGAGCAGAAACACCGCGCAAGCAGATACCACAACAATCACTGGCGAGCAGCCCGTCCCTCAAATAGGTAACACTTACACCACTGTTGATGCAGGTAACAACGCACTCGCAGCCATTCTAAAGAAAATGGAAGAATGGAAAATGAAAATAAGGCACTCCGCGACCAGATGAGGGAGCATCAAGAAAGGGTCAATAAGATATAGGGCGCCAAAGTTGATACCAAAACGAGACGTTGGACGGTTCGTCGAACAACCGTACAGCGAGGAAGCAGCTCCACATGCCATTCCCAAAACCTTCAAAATGCCATTGTACCTGAAGATATACGACGGTACTACAGACCCCGAAGATCAAATCATCCATTACATCACAGTGGTGAAGGGAAACGACCTTTTGAAGGAGCAAGTACCATCAGTGTTACTGAAAAAGCTCGGCGAAACCTTAATGGGGGGAGCCTTAACCTGGTATTCACAACTGCCGGCGCGATCAATAGCAACGTTCGAAGAAATGGCCGACAAGTTCGTCACCGCCATGCAGGGGCTAAAAAGGCGGAGGCCAGGGTGAATGATATATTTGCCGTTAGGCAATCGCCTGGCGAGGGACTCGGGGACTTCCTCGCCCGGTTTAACAGGGTGAGAATGAGCCTACCAAATGTATTGGAAGGGATGGCGGTAGCGGCTTTCCAGAACGGGTTGAACAGGAACCAGTCGAGAGCAACCAGAAAGCTATTAAGCAAGCTCGAAATACCCTCCCACCACTTGGGAGGAAATCCACAATGTCTACTGCGGCGAGGTGAGAGCCGACGAGGACGACCTTAATGGTCTGACACAACGGTTGACATCAGTTCAAATGGAGTTGAGAAAAGATCGTCATAACGATGGTCGAAGAGATCAGTCAAGCCCCCGTCTCAACCGAGAAAGACATCAACACTACGTCAGAACAGCCATCCCACCGTCTCCTCGACACGCGGAAGGGCCGTCCAGGCCGCATACAGGGACTCAGCGAAACGAAAGAGGTATGCCTCCACTCTTATCTGCTCACAATTTTTGTGTTTCCCCTTCAGAAATAGTGTACGCACTAGAGAAGCTTGGCACAAAGGTGAAATGGCCACAAAAGATGAAGTCTGACCCAAGTACCCGAAAGTCGAACGTCCTCTGTGAATTTCACCAGGAGCGGGGTCACAAAACTGATGACTGCATAGCTCTACGGCTTGAGGTAGTAAACATGCTGAACTAAGGGCACCTGAGGGAACTGATGAGCGACCGTGGACGAGCCAACTTCGGCCGCGGACATGAACAACACCAGGGGCCTCCAAAACCACCCTTCCCCGCTCGCACCATCTAGATGATCATCAGCGGGGGCGATGAAGCAACAGTTAACCATGTGAAGTTCACCATTACACACAAACTGAAGCGGTCGATCACTCACGAACGGTATGATGACCTCGGAGACAGTATCATCTTCGATAAGTCAGATACTGACGGTTTGACTTTCCCTCATTTCGATGCTCTTGTTATTACTTTACGTATTTCAGATACTGATGTGAAAAAAATAATGGTAGACGACGGAAGTGGCGCGTGTATTATCCACCCTCGAGTCCTCACACAAATGAGACTCGAAGACAAGATAGTACCACGTTGCATAACACTAACAGGTTTTAACAATGCAGTTGAGCGAACCTCTGGGGAGATAAAGCTACCTGTTCTGGCCGGGGGCGTCACCTTGGAAACAACGTTCCATGTCATGAACCAAGACACAGCTTACAACTCCATCATAGGGCGGCCATGGATACACACCATGAGGGCCATCCCGTCAAGCCTATATCAAGTAATCAAGTTCCCTACTCCATGGGGGATATTCAGCATCTGAGGCGAACAACGCACCGCCCAAGAATGCTATCGTATCGCCCAGGATTGCACATACACTCAACAGCTAAAGGGAATAGACTCAGAAGCATAACAATTAGCAAAGTCGGGGACCGAACTCGACGTACAAACAGACGTCATCAAGGACCCCGACATCATAGAAGCCGCTGAATCAACGGTAGAAGACCTCGATCCCGTTCAACTGGACATCAACGACAGCAGCAAAAAGGCTTACATCGGACATAAACTCTCAGAATCAGGTAAGTTTCACAAGTTTTTAATTGACAATGCCGATCTGTTCGCCTTCTCCCATGCAGATATGTCGGGCATCCCGAAAGACGTTGCCACACACAAGTTGAACGTTGACCCGCTCTATCCACCAGTGCGGCAAATAAAAAGAAAATTCAACACCCCAATCAACGGGGCCGTCAGTGATGAAGTGGATAAGCTGCTTGCCAACGGCTCCATCCGGGAATCAAAATACCCCCAATGGATCGCCAATGTGGTCATGGTAAAAAAGAAAAGCGGGAAATGGCGGATGTGCATAGATTTCACAGACCTAAACAAGGCATGCCTAAAAGACTCCTTTCCCTTGCCTCACATCGACCAGCTTATCGACGCAACAGTAGGGAACGAATTGCTAAGCTTCTTGGACGCCTACTCGGGTTATAATCAAATCCTCATGGAGGAGGACGACCAGGAGAAAACTACTTTCATCACCCATCAGGGAACGTACTTTACAGAGTCATGCCATTTGGGTTGAAGAACGCAGGGGAAACGTATCAAAGGTTGGTCACCAAGATGTTCAAAGACCAACTTGGCAAGACAATAGAATTTTACATCGACGACATGTTGGTCAAATCAAAAAGGAAAGAAGACCACATCGACCACTTGAAAGAGGCCTTCGGTATATTAAGGCAGTACGCATGAAACTAAACCCCGAAAAATGTGCCTTCGGCGTAACCTCGGGCAAATTTCTCAGTTTCTTGGTATCACAAAGAGGCATCGAAGTCAATCCAGACCAAATAAAAGCCATTGAAGGGATACCTAAAGTGTTAACCAGCAAGAAATAGGTGCAAAAACTGACTAGTCGTACAGCCGCCCTATCGAGATTCATCTCACGGTCATCCGACAGATGCCACAAATTCTTCAACGTGCTAAAAAAGACAACGGGCTCCAGTGGAATTCAGAATGCATAGATGCCTTGAGAGAACTAAAGGCATACTTGTCCTCACTCCCACTACTCGCCAAAGCGGAACCTGGTGAACGCCTCCTAATATACTTGGCCGTCTCAGAAGTCGCGGTAAGCGCAGAGTTGGTCCGCGAAAATAAAGGTACGCAATCTCCAATTTATTATATTAGCAAAACACTAGTCGACGCCGAAACGAGGTACCCCCACCTTGAGAAATTGGCCTTGGTATTGGTCATAGCTTCACGAAAGCTTAGACCCTATTTTCAGTGCCATCCCATATCGGTGGTAACGACTTTCCCCCTGCGGAGCATCCTACATAAGCCCGAAATTGTCGGGAAGACTGGCCAAGTGGGCCATAGAATTGAGCGAGCACGATATAACATATCAGCCGCAAACAGCGATATAATCGCAAGTACTTGCCGACTTCGTCGCCGATTTCAGTGCCAAAATAATGCCCGAGGTCGAGCAGGAAGCCTCTCGTACCCCTCCTAGGCTACCCGACCTATGGGTCCTATATACCGATGGCGCATCCAACGCGTCAGGGTCTAGACTGGGACTCGTACTTGAGGTCCCAACATGCAAAGTTATCTGACAATCCATACAGTGCCCCGATATGACTAACAATGAGGTCGAGTATGAGGCCGTAATTGTAGGATTAAAGCTAGCTCTCAAGTATAGAGCACGACGAGTCATCCTCAGATGCGACTCACAACTCGTCGTCAACCAAGTTACAGGGACTTTCCAAA